TAAATATATATAGAGACTAAACTTATATGTGTGTGTGTGTGTGTGTTGTTACCGGGGTAGTTCTTGATGAAGCTGCGGTAAAGATCTCCCAGCTTTTCTCCGCTAATGTGTCTGGACGGGTCGTCGGGGGACTTGAAGTCCAGGTCATACTTTCCGCTGCGGAAGAACTCGGAGGCTGCCACGTCCATGCCGATGATGATTTTGTCGGGGTAACCGGCCTTTTCGATGGCTGACTTCAGAAGCTCCAGAGCTGCAGGAAGACAGAATGTGACTTTTAGAGCGCGTGATCGTCGTGAATAGTTGACAGTTCTCAAAGATGAAACAATGGACAGAGAGACAGACAGGAGCATGTCTCACCCTCATTGTTCTCCAGGATGTTGGGGGCGAAGCCTCCCTCGTCTCCCACGTTGGTGGCGTCTTTCCCATACTTGGCCTTGATCACGTTCTTCAAGTTATGATAAACCTGAACACAAACTCACACAGTTAGTTCTTGTTTCCGGGGCTGAACACAGCAAGTGACACAGCGGGACAGGAAATTTCAAACAGAGGTTTCGAACCTCGGCACCGATCCTCATGGCCTCGTGGAAGTTGGCGGCTCCAACTGGTAGAATCATGAACTCCTGCATGGCCAGTTTGTTTCCAGCATGACTTCCTCCATTAATGACGTTAAAGGCCTGCGGTAAAAAAGAAAACAGTTACTTTGAAGACTCACATCAGACGATGTTACCAACAATACATCCACTAGAGGGCAGTGCAGTCCACTCACAGGAACAGGAAGAATGACGTCTTTGTGTCCGGCGAGGTCAGCGATGTGGCGGTAGAGAGGAACTCCCTTCTCTGCGGCTCCGGCCTTACAGACGGCGAGGGACACGCCCAGGATGGCGTTAGCACCGAACTGAGCTGTAGAGAGAGTGAGACCGTTTAGACTGAGAGAGAGAGAGAGAGAGAGAGAGAGAGAAAGAGAGAGAAAGACAGGTCCTTACATTTGTTCTCAGTTCCGTCCAACTCCAACATGAACTTGTCAATCTTCTCCTGCTCAACAACACTGAACTTCTGCAGATACAGAAAGAGAGCAAGAGAGACAGTTAGGGAGAAAGAGAGACACAGTTGTGACCTTTACTGCAGTCAGCCACCAGGGGGTGATCCAGATACTTTGCCTTCACTTTTAGTAGCTTTCCTGTTGTTTTTATTTAAAGTCTGTGGGCAAACTAAACTGTGATACCTTCTCAATCAGCTTGGGGGCGATCCTCTTGTTCACATGTTCCACAGCCTTCATCGTACCTGCAGAGGACAGAGGTCACAGGTCAGAAGAAAGAGGTCAGAGGACAGATGACAGAAGACAGAGAACCAAGGTCAGAGGACAGAGGACACAGGACAGAAGACAGAGAACAGAGGTCAGAGGACACAGGTCAGAGATAAGAAGACAGAGGTCAGAGGACAGAAGACAGAGAACAGAGGTCAGAGGTCAGACGACAGATGATAGAGGACAGTGGACACAGGACTGACCAGAAGAAAAGTGCAATGTAACTTGCTCTGACTCTTACCTTTGCCCAGGTAACGACTCTTGTCTCCGTCACGGAGCTCGAGCGCCTCATGGACACCTGTCGATGCACCGCTGGGTACTGCAGCTCTGAATAGACCTGAGAGACAGACAGGTGCAGAGAGAGACAGTTGGTTTGAAACAGGACTTCCAGTATCTGTCACATGTTTTAAGGCTCCTATGTGTGCAGAGTGTGTGTGCCTCCCCACCCTTGGCCGTCCACAGGTCCACTTCCACTGTGGGGTTTCCTCTGGAGTCCAGAATCTCACGAGCATGAATCTTAGTGATGGACATCCTGACTGGGGGGGGGGGGTAGAAAGAGTTTAGTACTTTCACAGTAAAAGTCTTTCTCACATAGATCTGTGTGTGTGTGTGTGTGTGTGTCTGTCTGTCTGTGTGTGTGTGTGTGTGTGTGTGTGTGTCAGACCTGCTGCAGAGATCCTGTGTGTCGCCATGATACTTCAATGACAGAATGCACAAGGCCCTGCCCCTATCAGCCTCCACCCACCCATACACAAACAACCAATCAGAGAGCTGTTCTCGTGACGAACAACCGAGGGGACCAACAGGAGAGTGTGTGTGTGAGTGTGAGTGTGAGTGTGAGTGTGAGTGTGTGTGTGTGTGTGTGTGAGAGAGAGTTATTAATACAGTGAGTAAAACCCTCTGACCTTCTCCCAGACCTTTCTACACAGGTCAAGACTTCTGCCTGTTCTAGAGTTACACACACACACACACAYASAGACACACACACAGAGACACACTGACATTTGAAGAAGTATTAGTGTCGTCTGATAACTGAAGGTCATTCCTGCTTTGATCGCAGTGATGGAGAAGAAACCATCAAAGTCAACAGGCCAAGAACTATTATAAACAAATCAATAAATAAATATGTGTATATTCTTTCAAGGCTCATTCATAATAAAGTAGAGTACAAGAACTGGAGTAGTAGCAGTATAAAGTAGTTTCTGTAGTGTGACAGAGAGTTTGTGTTTGGAACCTGTTTCATCTGCCACATGTGAGATATTATAATAACACGCTAACTGCTGCTCACAGTCATTACTGTGTGTGTGTGTGTGTGTGTGTGTGTGTGTAGCCTCAGGTCGAACACAGCAGTACAACAGGTGAGTGAACCTGAACACTATTTGGCCTTTTCAATCAGTTTACTGTACAAACATGAACAACTGTACGCAAGAAATATATCCTGAACAACACTGCTGCTAACACTGCTGCTAACA